TTTTTTTTGTTTTAGTATTTTGAAGTTGACCAATTGTTACTATATATAAGCAATTAATGATTATAGATGATCTGCACTGTAAATCAAAAGTCAAAACTAGTTTCGACTTATGGCGAAACCTTTTGACTTCCGTACAGTTGCAAAACTCCCTAGTTTGGAAACCAACACTAGTTGGTACCTATTATAGCTACTATTCCGCACATAACTTTTATAGTATGGGATGCGCACAAGAAAATTCTATTCAAAATCGCGTTTTAACGAATCCTTGAATGATTTAAAATTCCACGACAAGGTAGAAACCTAAAGTGTATTATGACATAATAGTTACATATAAAATATCTAAATATCGTCACTCTTATTCTGAAAGTTTGACACTCTTCTCGATTGATAAATGAAGTTCCTATTAAAAGTCCCTCAATTTTGGAATCTTACTACGTGAAGCAAAAAATTTAAAAATTCATGCGACGCAAATTTAATTATAGTTCGTTAAATCAAGATTGTTTATATGTATTAGATAGTATATATCAAACCGACTCTAACCAAATCATGGTTCATCGAGATATATATATTAGGTAGTATATATTAATATTGATTCGATTCGGATTCATTGGTTCGAGTCTTAGTTAAGGTCATAGGCTCTATTCTAGAAAGATTTATTTTATCATCCTGGTCCACTTTAAAAGTTATGAGCCTGAAATTTATCGAAACACATTTTTCTCCATTATCCATAAATAGTATTATTTTAAAATTTTTAATCGATGTATTTACAAGACCTTCGTGTCAAATGATTCCCTTCTTTAAAGGCTGCATTTTTTTGCTATAAGTCACGTGTTAAAAATATTTATAACATAGTAGCATATGACCTCAACTACAATTGCCCGGACCTCGTTTTTTATACATGTTGACATGCATCTGAAACTTTTTCTAAGAAAATTTCTTGATTTCTTCCAAAGTAACATGTTCAATGCTTCTGAAACAAATCTTTGCAAGCCTACAAAAACTATAGTCACAATTATCTCTTGTATGTCTTTCCCCAGTATATCTCAATGAAATTAAACTCACAATGTAACTTGGGGTAAAAGATATAATAATCAATTAGAGTGGTTACACGTTCGGCCATCCTAAAAAAATTGTATATAGATAATAGTCAAACCTTGTCACAGCGGACTATAATTAAATTCTTGTCATAACGGATTTTTAAAATTTACATTTTAATTTTCTTATGTGTCCCGTGGCAAGGTTTGGCTATAATACTAACACTAATACTGAATATAGGGGGCAAGCCTTAGCATTTTTATTAATATGGAGTATGGAAAGCAAAAATGAGTCAAAAATTTTTTATTGAGATAATAATGCAGCCATATGTGACTTGGGACGGAATCTTTTTTGCTTAGAAACATATTCCATATTTATGAAAATATTTGTTTCATATGTAAAACATTGGTAAATTGGATTTTGCCCAATGGGTCCTTTCTACTTGTTGTACCTCATACCGCATTCCGTATTAATATGTTTTCCATATTTAACGCCCCATTTCTCCGTACATAACATATTGGATACATATCTTATATTCCCAGTGTGTTTTCTGTAAATTCCATATTAACATGCTTTCAGTATGTTTTCCATATAAAAATATACGGAAAGGCACTCTCTTTCACTGGAAAGAGGGCTCAGTACATTTTCTTTATTAGTATGGTAAAAACTGAAAACATATGGAAATCAAAATGTACTGTATTTCCGTAAAATTTTTTATAGGCTTTGAAATTGAAATTATACCGTTCTTTAGATTAAACCATGCTCGAATCAATACGATTAATTGCCACATTTTTTGGTGCTTTAACACCAGAATCAATATTTTTACCTTTCTCTAGTATTGTTAATTTTGACAAAGCATTCTCGAATTTTTCAATTAGGCCTTTTTCATTAGTTTCAATTTCTAAAGGATCAATTTCAATTGTTTCATTCTCAACAGCAGCAGTTTAAAGACGACATTTTTTCGTCTGACCGCATGTACAATATAAATAGAGAGACTTTTTAATGGCTGGAAGTTACTAATTTATTTTCAGGTGATTTATAATTAAGATCCATCTTCTGAACCAAATCTTTGTTTCAGAATCATAAATAGTTTCATCTAAGGAATTGTCATGATTTACATCAAGGCTTAAATAACTATTTTGATTATTTTAAGTTTCGTTGTGATTTAGATTCTTTTGCGTCTTTAATTGACTATTTCAACATTAAAAAGTATTTAAAACTTTATTTTATATAATTAAAAGAAATAATTTATTTGAACGCGTAATCTCAATTCGGGTTTTCCAAATTTGGAAACGATTTCGTAATCCCATTCCATCGAATATATCGTACAAAATATGTATGGTTTATCTTGTGTGTTGTTTGTTTTTTGACTTATAAATTATCACACCAAAATTGTATCTTGCAATGCTTCTGACGCAATATAAAACATCACCCCAATCTTCATATTATTTGCCATTATGAAGATCGCAATGAACATAATCCATTGTAAATTTTCTTCTTGCAATTTAAGAAGTAGAATCCAATTCTGATTCTGATTTTTCATGTGATATCCCATACTAATATATTCATCCATTCAAAAAAATTTTTCAAAAATAATATTAATATTGGGGAAATAATTAAAAAGGGGCAAAAAATTGCAAAAACGGTTGTGAAACCTTTACCAAATATATGAAATCATTCAATGCAAATGTCATCTATATGAAGTCTTTTGTGATTTTGGCATCATAATTATAATTTTGTAACTAAAAAAAAAAAAAAATAATAATCTAATTAGAAAAATGAAAGAATAATGACAATAAATAATAAATAATAAAAAAGATTATTGTTTACTTTTAAAAAAACCCCTTTTGGAATATTTTGAAAATCTTTGATTTTTTTAAGCTCTGATTTTTTCATAAATATATATATATATCTTAATCCGCCTTCTATGAACAATTGCGAATCCTTATTCACCCTACCTATCAAGATCCATCCATTGATAATCGTAAAATGGCGTTCCAAGTTGATTTTATCATTTTAATAAGTTACACAAATGTGAAGATGGAATATTCTTAAAAAAAAAAAAAAAGATTTGTTTTATATAAAAAAAAAATATTATTTTATATAATCGATTAGTAAAAATTTGTGGCATTTACGATCCATAGACGGATGACTTATTAACTATTTTGAATTATGAAGCTCCATAAAGCCTAAACTGATTATTATTGGCTATTTAGCTTATCGGCTTTAATAATCAGCTCTTTGTGTCACGAAAATTGGAAATCGATCTGGTTGGACGTATTAAATTTCGACTGCGTCATATATACGGATTTGGTTAGCGCTCCCTCTGAATTTGCGGCGAATATTTCGACAATTTCTAACGTTCCAGTTATATATACACATATAAAAACCTTTTTTAGAATTGGTAGTTATTAATTGATTATTATAATCAATGTCCAACAGCAGCGATACCAACACACCCTCAACGATGGTGGATAAAGGATACAAATTCGGGAGAAAAAGTTAGCAAAAAGGTAAACATAATAATAACACCCACTATCCTTTTTAGAAAAGCATATAACCATCACCGAAGCCTTTAAAACTATTTTCTATCTCATCAATCTACAAAATACAGCTTTCTAAAGTTGAAGCATTTTAATCTTGTGGTCGTCATTGCGCCAAATCTTAATCAAGATCGCCTACAACACAGTCATGCAACCCATAACCCTTCTCCAAATTCACGAAGAGACGAAAATTCACACCATGACTTTTGTTTTAGAAATCCTCGGGAACTTTACGCTGTACGCTGTAACATTTGAAACCGGAATCTTGCTTCGGCGCATTCTTTTCTTCGTGATCGGCATCCTAATAGTCAATTGGAAGAGCCTGGATCATTTCGAAAATAGAAGTACGGGAAAGCGATATTGGAAAAGATGAGCGATTTTTTCATATTTCTTGAATCACATCATCAAAATTTCAAAATTTATCGTACATCAAATAGTAGCTATAATTAAAAATGAACTTGCAGATTTAATAGCATAGCAAAAATAACAATAAAGGTTGCATTAATCATTAAAGTATTTTCCTTTCAATAAATCTCGCAAGAAATAATCATGGAACAACGAAACATTGTAATATGAGAAGATCAAGGCTATTTATGGATTCAATTATGTTTTTTACATATATGTTCTTAATGAAACTTTTGATTCAGATATTATGTTCATATAGAGATGATTTTCTCAAATAAAAAAAGAACTTTTGAATAATATTAATTGACATGTTTCTATTTTATTTGTTTATTTGTTGTTTATTATGGATTTGAATTAATTAATTAATTAAGCTATTAATATATTATGAAAAATGCAAAATATTTAAAGTATTTAAAATATTTACAAAAAAAAATTAGTTGTATTAAATTTGTAAAAAAAAAAAAAATTTAATGAATGTAAAAATACTATTTAATCAATAAAATATAAAGACGAGAAAAATGAATTTAGTTGGATGCTCATAGGTTCTATTTTTTGGAGCAATGGAAGCTCAAGAATTGTTCTTTATAATTTTTATTCAATGAATGGTTTTTGATTTAAAAAATTAATATGATGGTTTCTGGTCTTTGTCCCAAGAATTCCTCTGTCTTAATCGCATAATACTTCATAGTCATCACATTCAAATGGAAAAATAGATTTCGTTGAAATATTTTGTATAAATTGTTTTGCCTCGTTCAACAATTCTTTTGAAAATATCATTTCCGGTGATAACAAGTTTGAAGGTTGATTTTTTAATTTTGTAATATTATAACTAAATTCATTCAAATGTTTTGTTTTAGCATAATTCATTACAACTTTTAAATAATTGTCGTAATAATTTTGATTATTATTATTATTGTGTGATTTTCTCCTTATTTCACCTTCTTCCAATAATCTTTCATCAACCAGTGTATTATTACTACTACTACTACTATTATTAGCATGGTCAATTGTAATTATTAATGATTTAATATTAGGATGAAAATCTTTTAACAAATATTCCAATTCATCATAACCGAATACGGAATTAAGGTGTAAAGTGTTTAATGAAATTGGTAAATTTTTTCCTAATTGATTTAAATCTTGTTCGGTCATTTTGGTAGAATAATTTTTCAGATTTAAAACTAAATGTTTTAAATTTGTGGTTGATAATAATATTGAAGAGGAGATCAAAGTGTTTGTAGTAGTAGACAATGCTAAATAATTTAAGTTTGCACAATGTCTATTTATAACTTCCAGATGTGCTTTTGTGGAATTTTCCAATGTCAACTCTGAAAGATTACAATTTACCAAATATAAAATTGTTGTGATTACACCATCCAAATGAGAATTTAGAAACTTTAGCTTATTGATTTTCATCAAATTATTTGTGTTATTTTCTAAATGACAAGAAATTATTTCGTCGTTATCGTTCTCGTTCACATTCACATTTTCTTCCTTTCTTTTACTTTTTTGATAGCAAGAATTAAATTGCAATAAATCTAAATTATTACACTTAATCAGTGGAAGTATGGAATCGTCACTTAACGGAACTGAGTCAAACACCAATTTCTTCAAAGATTTGGATTGTGTTGAGCAAGAATTTATATATTCTTCACTGAAAGCTTCAGGACAATTTGTTCGTGAGTACCTAAAATAATTTAGGCTTCTTTGAGACTCTATTAATTTTCTCAATTTCTCTGTTTGACTATTCTCATAATCTCCAGTAATATCAATATTAATATATTCAACATTTTTTGTGGAGTTGTTGATTAATAATTCTAAAATCTTTGTTAGATTTGCTGTATCATGTTCATTCAAATAATCAAAGTCTCCTTTAATTTCTAATGTTTTTAGATTCCTGAATACCAGCAATGGTGAACTTAATGATGATAAATTTGGAATCGTGGAAGTTTCTTCATTCCAACTTCCCAAACTGAAACTCCGGAGTCCGTTTGAATTAACAAACAACATTTTACATATTTCTGATGTTATGAATGATAATAATTCCCGATGAACGTCATAAACGTTATAACAATAATCGCTTAAGCTTAACCAACAAATGATTGAACTCTCTAATTCTGCTAAATCCAAATCCTTCAAGTATGTTGAATAATTCAAAATCGGATTTTTCAATTGTTCGCTTAAACAGATTCCGAATTTATCAAACAATTGTGATTTAAAATCATCTGATGAACATGCAATATAAGTATCAATGAGACTGGAACGATTTATATTTTCTGTATTTTCTATATCGAGATTGTTGTTGCATGTTATATTTAAACATTCATCGAAATAATTATTATTTGATTTCTTTAATAAAACAAAAGGACGCTTCCAAAGTAAAGGAACGACAAGTTGAAACCATCCTTTATTAACTAATAAACAATCATATAAAGAATGTTTGTCATCTTCGATATATTTGAAAATCTCTAGTAAAACATCTGAAGGAAGTGTTGGTAATTGTAATAATTTATTTTTAACATTATTATTATAATGACGATGGTAGTAATGAATGTTATTATCATTGTCATTATAATTATTATGCTTATTAAATTTGATAAAGTTATTAATCTTATTATTATTGCTGTTATCGCTGTTGTTGTTGAGATCGAAATTAAAAAAACTGAATTGATGGTGGAAATTATTAGTATTATTTAACATCATGATTGGAATTTTTTTTTTTTTGAATTGGGAAAAAATCTTCAAGATTAATTAATTGAAATGGCTGAAAGAACGATATGGTGATTAATCGAATAAATGGATTAAACTGATTGATAAATTGTTTTTTTGGTAAAGATTTTCTGTGCATTGGTTTAGTATAAGAAAAAGTAATTATCGTTAATTAATTGTCGCTATTTTTAAATTGATAAATAATTATCATTGATTTTCTTGGACAAAAAGAAAAAAAAAACATGTCTTCGCGCATGCAAAGAATAATTTACCTTTCTCTTTTTTTCTTTAAATCAAAATCAAAGTTTATGAAATAAGCAAAAAAAAAAAAAAAAGATGGATATAAAAAGCGTACGAGTAAATAATTTTTGTGAAAAATAAAAATAAAAAAAATTTTTAAAATTTTTAAAAAAAAATAAAAAATGGGTTTTTTTCCTTCAAGGGAATTCCAAATTGAATGTATATATATACAATAAAATAGCAATAATAAATAGTATAATGAAAATAATAATTATTGTATTAAAAGTATTAAAACAATATTTTGTACTCCTTGTATTGTTTATATTATAACATTATTTATATGAAAAAAAAATAAAATAAAAAAACATAACAAAAATAAAAAGTCTAGTTTAAACTTAAAAAAGAAAAATACTCTTATAGTACAAACTGTTTTTTTACCTCGGGGATTATTTATTATAGGTAAACAATTGTGAGTATGACATTATTATACTTTTTTTTTCCATGTGGAATATAACTCTCTTTTTCCTATTATTTTTAAATATAATAAATTATATTATGTCATATACTGTCATTCAAATTAACAATTAATTAGCTATTTATTAATTATTTTAACAATCGTGTGTATCTCTATCCGGTATTAATGTTTAGAAAAAAACAAGCGTATACGATAATAATAGTAACATTGTATTACTATGTTCTATTACACAGAATTAATTAAACATGCAAGCATTAGTATTAGTGGGTTTTGTCCATTCTATAACCTAATTACTTGGGTTATACCCAGTCATGAAGGCTCTCGCTCCCCGATCAAGAGAAATGATACGGCACCTCTATTCTCCTTAATCACTAAAAATTTATGATCTTGGTTATCAGCCTTTATTTTGGGTATTTTTCTATAGCACTTTTGGGGAATGAATGGGAGTAGTCACACCTCTCATTCTTCCCCATCCCAATCTATTGACCCGACTGCTAAATTTCAATGGAAAGTTCCTTCTTTTATTGCAGCTTTATTATTATTTAACAGGTCAATTATTGCTGCTTCTCCAAGATCAGGGTCGATGGATGTGAATTTTTAGATTTATTGATATAATCTTCACCTAAATATTGTTTATTTTCCATTTTCTATATCAACATTACTGATACATTTTAATGTTGTTTAGCCTCTGGATTAAGGTGAAATGGAATCTGAAGAGATTTTTCAAAAGCCTAGGGTGAAATTAAATTTTCTTTAAAATTCTTTTATATGTCGTCTGGTAAAAAAGGAATATGATTTAAACCATAAGGCATTGAATCAACTTATAACCTATGACTCAAGAGCTAGTCTTTTTAAAGAGTCATCCCATTGACTGGGCATAGTGATTTACTAGTGTTTTTGATTCAATGAATTCATCCCAGAATGGCTTAAATCTTTTTTTGTAAAATAAATTCAATGAATAAAATATTCGTCTTTTCTTGTAAAAAAAAAAAAAAAAAAAAACCTTGTTTTGCATCGAAAATCAAAAAAAAAATTTTTTTTGACTGTATGTCACGCACGAAACAAGGTACCACAACTAAAACTTTCCAATTAATTGATTTTTTGCTTTTTTTACGATACCTTGTTTGATATTAATTTCTAATTATTATTATTATTATTTTATTTTCTAGCGTGATATTTTATCTGCTTGTGACATATTGCGGTCTTTTGTTGGATGGGCCGACTCCGTATCATAATATTTTTGATATTAAGAAAGAAAAACAATCAGAAAATTATTTACTTTGTGTTGGGAAAAGTCTAAAAATAATACGATAAATATTTAATAAATAATCGGTTGATTGATCAATTTAATTGATAAAAAATATTGTTTGTCAATAATAATAATAATAATAATTATAATCAATTAGGAATAATAATAATTATAATCAATAGGAATAATAATAATTATAATCAATAGGAATAAAACAAGAACCGCGAGCATATAAAGCTTAGATCGTTTAAAGTAAATTACATAATGAGAGCATCCCTAAATGTGTCTTATTATGTCTAAGGGTGGTTTGTAATTTAAGTTAACCAATAAAAATCGTTGATAAATTTATTTAATTCCGTAGAATTTTAACGAAGCCAAAGAAGTAAAAAACCAAAAAAAATATGCCAAAAAAATCTAAAGGAAAAAAAAGTATTTTAAAAAGAAAGACCAATAAAACCACCTCTGCTACTAGTCAGTCTGCTGACTATTCTGACGATTCATTAAATGAATACGAAGAAGCTCAACTTAGAGAAGCAATTCTAGCTTCTAAAAAAGAATACGAGTCTAAAAGCTCTCTACAGCAAGAAGAAAAAGAAAAAGAAGGAGGGGGAGAAGGAGCAACTATTGCTGGTACAAGTAAAGGCATCAATACTTCTAATCTTGTTATTGATCAAGATATGGGAGTTGATGTTGATGATGATGAGGCGGAAGAGGACCAGGAAGAGGATATGGAAATTGATAAAACTGAGCATGAAGAAAAAACTTCAAAGAAATCAAAAAGGTTGAAAAGAAAAAAAATTGCAAACCAAGAGTCAAAACATGATAAGAAAGCTTATAATAATAAACGTTTAAGATCAAAAGTTAGAACTAGTAATAATGATATCGGTAACAGTAATAATAATAATAATAGTGAATTTAAAAACGACCTGTCAAATAAATCGATACAAGATCAACCTGAGTATAAAGTAGGAAAAGAATGGTTACAACAATTGTTAGAAGAGAAAAAAGCAAGGCAATCTGCCAAAACAATATATAGGATCCAACAATCTGAAATCATTGATAATAGAGAATTGGGAAATAATACAGAAGGTAGAAAAGATGGTGAGGAAGAATTGCTTCAATACGAAAAAAGAAATCTTTATATTTACAAAAAAATAAAAACAAGATATGAACGTAAGATAAAAGAAGCTGCAAAAGAAAGAATTATGCGGGGACCATCATCTAATATCGATGAAAGTGATTTAAGTATGAATGAAAAACTCAAGTTGAGACTTAAAGAGTATGCATTAGAAGAAGATCAATTTGTTATTGAAATATTAGAAACTAAAATAAAAACTCCTAAAATTAAGATATTTTCATCAATGGAAGAACTTAGAGCTTTATCCTCTTCTCCCTCCCGTTCATCATTATCATCTTACTCACACTCTTCATCTTCTACTACTGCTGTTGCTACTAATTCTTTTATAAAAAGACCAAAACCTGATTATAATCAATATCTTGATAAACTCTTTACTAAACAACCATGGATGACAAAAAAAGATATAAAATATTTAACAGATTTATTCACTAAACCAGAATCAATTGCTTCATGTGCTTCAATTAAGGTAATAAATATTTTAGAAAACATGTGTGTGGTGTATGTGTTAACGAGCATTTGTTTGTATATATATGTGTGTGTATATATATGAGCATATGTATGCGTGTCTATATTTCTATGTCATTATTGTTGAGATGATATTAATAATTCAAATAACTCTGATTGATTAATTATTTAATTTTAGAGAATTATAAATGTAGAAAATTTTAATAGTTTCACAAATGAACAAAAAATTCGTATTATGAAGTTAATTCCCATTGAAGACATTGTACCAATTGCAAGTATAACAGGCGAACCAATTGATACACCATATATAGAACGTGAACGCACATTCAAAGATGAATTTTTATATGAAGCTGGAATTCATGGTCAAATTACCGGTATTGATCCAATGAAAGTGACACCTCGGTTTGATTTTTGGTTGTCAGATGATGTGAAAGATGCCAGGTGGTGGTGGCAACTTAGCATTGAGTATGGGTATTATACAAAGTATGGAGTAAATCAACAATGGGACGAATATGAAAATTTCAGGTGTAATCTTCCTAGTCACTGGAAGGTAAGTTGCGTATATGTCTATATATACAGTCATAGTTATAATCATATTTATTCATCATCTACACATATTGTTAGAGCGATGCATTTGAAGAGATGTGGGGAGAAATACTAAAAGAAGGTGTTGGCAATGTACAATTAGCAGGAGATTCTGCCAAAATAACACTTCCAGATCTCGTTAAAGCAAAGGTCATCAAAGAAGGTGATATATTGATATATAAACGAAGTTTTGCAAAACTTGATATTACTGTTACAACAGAACTTGAGGTAAATAAGTAATTTGGATATTTATTATATTTTCATTTCTTCCACTCAAAAAAAAAAAAAAAAAATCATTGATTAGTTTGTATTATTAGGTGTTGAGAGTGAATAGAAACAATGGATGTATGGCTGTAAAGTTTGGTAAAGGCAAGAATTTCAGAGTGATTGAAGAAGTTCAGAGACCAACAAGTTTAGAGAAAGAAATATTGGATTTTGATGGTAGAATTCCAAAAAGTTCACGACCACATGGAAATGCGTTCAAGAATTTGTCTATTGTTAAATCAGAAAGTTATAAACCATCACTGTTTGAAGTTCGTAAAGAATATTGGACTAAAAACAATACCATCTCATAATTAATTAATAATTTTGTAGATAAAACAACATCAAAGCTGTACTAATAATAATAATAATGTCAGATGATATGATAATTCATATTATTTTATTGGAAGAAATTGAAAAATTTTTATTCATTTGTTTTTTTTTAAATAAATTTATATTTTTGGTACATTTTTGTTTTTATATAATAAATTATTTTTTTAACCAAATTTTTTTTAGCAAAAATAATAATAAAATGTAATTTATTTAGAAAATTTTTTAATTATTTAATCAACAAAGTTGTAGTAATATTAAATGCTTTATACATTGAATGAATTAACATTAGCAACTTGTTCATTCATTTCATTCAACAAGATCACAACAGGCTTTGTAAAAGTGAGCGTTTATCTAAGAGGAAGATTCATTATCATAGACGTTGACCAATTCGGCTGCTTGCAATGCTTGAACATCCAAAATTTGATTTCTTCTTGTAATTGGTTGAATAAAATCACCAGTTTGAATTGTGTATTTACTCAAGTTGTAAGCTTTTGGTGTGTATTGGAATTAATATTGATATGAATGGATTAGATCATTAAATAATATGAAAAGAGGTATAAAAAGAGTCTTTGGGTATTTAAATAATACTTTAAAGAAATATGAAGGATATATATATGTGTACGCATAAAAAAATCTTTTATTTTGATGCATTATCGTTAGTATATAATGTCAAAGATAAAAATAATAATTACATTCATTTGTTTTATTAAACTTGTAATTACGTGAAATCACGTCCAATTTTACAGTTTGTTATCACACACTGTAGCTGCTATTCTAAAAACAAGACCAATTAACCCGAATTATTATTGATTGATCTTTTTAATAATAATGATTACGACCATCATTATTTTGATTGTTTGTTAAAAGTTCCATCTTTTTTCCTTATTATTATCTTCCAATTGCACAGCGTGTGACTATTTTTTAGTGGCTTCCCCCGTATTGGTGGCTGTGAGTGAATTTCTGATTTAGATTTTTTGATTGACGCGGACAATCTGCATGTTTGATGGATACGCTTAGACCTTGGACTTGAATAATGAGCACGACGACTTGATCTTTTATTTATAACCTTTGGACTTGGGAAGATTGAAATATTTAATTTTGAAACCTGGTGACATTTTTTTTCAGGGGAGAAATTTCACAATTATGACGTACTAACTTAGTCGTCACGCATCTCACATCTCACACATGCCAGATATACATCATACAATTCACAATAAATAAACACTAATACTAATATACTTCTAACACATTACAGTAAATAATACAATAATACAAATATACAAATAATGAACTTTCAAAAAAATTTTTTAAAAAGAACCAGAATCAGTTTTAAATTGAAACAACGTGTGTATTACTTCAAATTATTTTAGAAATAATAAAAATAAACACTAATTAACTCTATTATTTTTATCCATTTCTTTTTTCTTTCAAAAAATTTTAAATCCAAAATTTAAATATCATTATCATTTTTCCTACATTCTTTATATTATTTCATAAATAAGTAAATAACCACCTGTATTTTATTCGTATAATATTCCTTCATTCATAGTCATCATTATTCCCCTGTAATTATTATAGTTTGATACTATTAATTTTTCATAAATTAATACATATAGTACATACAGTAGATACAGTATACTTATATTGCATTTATATTAGTCTCCAATTTCTATTATACGTTTCATTTCTATAAAAGTTGACTTTTTTTACGCAAGTCGTCAAAGAAATTAATTTGTAAAATTTTCATAAAAAAAAAAAAAAACGTATATATATATATATATTCAAATAAATAATCATGTCTGTTGACTCGATAAAGTTGAAAGAATTAGAAGATTATCGAACTTTGACTGAATCGGTAAGTTTTCAAAATAATAATAATATTCTTTCTCTACATCAACAAAACAATCATTACTCACACTTTTAATAAATTTTATAGCTTCGTGAACAACTTGAACGTGTCCATAAAGAAAATTCATTATTGATAGATGATAATAATCTTGTCCGTAGGAAAATCACTTTTATTAAACAAGAACTTACTAACAGTCATAATGAATATTCACGTCTTGAAAATGATCTTTATCAGAGTAATCAGGAAACTGAACGTCTGAGAAAAGAAAATGCAATGTTTTTAAAATATAAACGTGAAATTGAAAAGAAATTACGTGAAGAGGTAAGTAAATTTGAGATATATTATAAAAATATTATTTGATTATTGGATATTATCAAAGTAAAATAAAATATTTAATTTATTTAAATCCACTCATTATTAACACCTTTTTAATTTTTATTATAGACACAAATTTATGAAAAAGAAAGATTGATTTGGCATGAACGTGAATCAGAATTACTTGATCAAGCCAAAGCACTTCAAGAAACTATAAATGTTCTCGCTCAACAAAGCGAACAGTCATCGCAAAAAAAAAGTGATTCTTCTCCAATCCCTTATGAAAAATTATCAGCTAGTCACTACTCTAATGCTCGTGAACTTAAAAATGCTCAAAGACAAATCAAGGAATTAGAGCACAGAATTAGTGAATTGGATTCTGTTATAGTCAAAACTAAACAAACTTCCACCGAATCTATTGAGCTTAATAAAAATCATGTTCGTAGAATTCAACAATTGGAAAATGAAATCTCTCAAATTAAATATATGAATAATACCTTGATGGAAGATAATGAAAGCTATCAATTATTGTTACACGAGAAAACAATCAAAGGTGATTTCATCATGAACCCAATCTTGCAGGTAAAATCAATTAATGGTAATGTTTATTGAATCTCATATATTGAATATATATTTAACGTTTATGTATATATTTTTTTATAGTTGGAGCATTTTGATTTTGACAATATGAAATATACCGATAAAGCAGAAAAGGTGACCGACAATATAGCTAAAGATGATGATAAAGATTCTCAGAAATCAAGAGATTCTCCTAAATCAGAAGATTCTTTGGTTAAAAATAAATTAATAAATCATACTGATCTTTCTGCTGAATTAGAACGTGCTAAGGCACTCACCGTGTCATTACAAGGTGAAAATGTATATAAAGAAAGCGACCATACCATAATAGAAAGTGAGTGTTATGATAATTATTATTAGCATAAATAATACACGTGATAATAATAATAATATTTTCTAAATTTTTTAGAATTTCAAGATGAAATCAAAACGCTCAGAGATGCAAATAAATCAATGCAACTCTACATTCAAAAAATTCTCAATCGTATTATGGAAGCAAAAGGTTTCGAGGAAATATTATCATCAGATTGGTCTGCTGGATCATTAGGCTTTGGTGGTGATCAAGATGACAAATACAATAATGATGATGGCAAGAGAACAGAACGGCGTAAAAATTTGTCCGGACTTCATTTCCGTAGTATTTCTCAACCACCTAATAAAACTCACAAAGTTCAAATTCTAACAGAAGAGCCAGAGTCTTTACCTGATAATTATAATAGTAATCATAAAGAATTGATCTTAACCAAGGGATTATCGGTGCCCAAACGAACTCAAAGAAGTAAATCTATCTCTGATGCTAAACATAACACTCTCAATACTAGCAATAACAGTAAACGATTTAGTTTCTTGGAATGGGTTGGGGGCAATAAAGAAACTAGTAAAAAAGATGATCCTTACATGAGACAATTAACGCTTTTAAAAGAAAAAAATTAAAAATGTAACTTTTTTTTTTTACATATATTTTGATATATAAAATTTATGATTTGTATATTTTTTTTTTTAAATAAAAAATTTTTAAAATTATATTGCATTACGTATAAACTGGGGGCGGGTTGTTATTATTATATCAGATATATATATATACAAATTTACCACTTTGTATCACCAAAATTATTAGTGACTTTGTTGCCCAATGATCACACATTAATATTTAATGTTAATATTGAGAACAATTTCTTTATATTTATTTCATTTTTTATAATGGACGTTGAAATGTCTGAACAAGAGCCTATTGAACCAATCAATATCAATGATAACATCGCTCCAAAAAATAATACTGGATCACCAAAACCTGTTGTTATAGAAGAGAACGAACAACAACTACAAATTAAAATGGAGACAACTGTCGAAGATTCAAAGGTAGCGACAAGCACCACGACCACTACCACTGTAGTAGATGCTGCTACCGCCGCTGCCGCTGGAGCTGAAATAGTAACTACTGAGACAGCCATTCCTGGTACAGAACAAACTATTATTATGAATGATGAGGAAGAAAAAAACAGGCTTGAAGAGGAAGCTCGCAAATTCCTATCTTTACAAGCACAAGAAATAGTAATACCATCATATGCTGCTTGGTTTGATATGGCAAAAATTCATAATATCGAAAAAAAATCTTTACCAGAATTTTTTAATAAAAAAAACAAATCTAAAAATCCAACTGTTTATAAAGAATATAGAGATTTTATAATCAATGCATATCGACTTAATCCTTCAGAATATCTAACCGTCACTGCTTGTCGTAGAAATTTGGCCGGTGATGTCTGTGCAATTATTCGTGTACATGCTTTTCTTGAACAATGGGGATTAATAAATTATCAAGTAGGAATTTTTTTTAATAAATCACGTTTATGTGCATTAATAATTTAATAATAATAATAATAATAAATTATAGGTAGATCAAGATACACGACCATCATCTGTCGCGCCTCCTTTCACAGGACATTTTGTTATTACTGCAGATGCACCAAGAGGTCTTCAACCATATCTACCAAAAGGTTCTGTTGCTGTTTCAAATACGAATCCATCTAACCTTAGTAATAATAACAATAATAACAACAACGGTATTGCTACATCATCAAAAACTGACACTGTTAATGTAAATCCAAAGGGTGATTCCTCATTTGGAATTCGCCAAAATGTATATCAAACAAATAACACTAGTAATAATAATGACACCACAACAACTTCAAATACTGAAAATGATGAAAGTGAAAGTAATAACAACAATAATAGCAAGAGCGGTAACAATAATAGTGAGTCAACAGGAGGAAAAAAACAATATAATTGTTTTACATGTAAGGTTGATTGTACTCAATCTCGTTATCATAGTTTAAAGAATGGAAAATTAGATCTGTGTCTCAATTGTTATTCATCTGGCCATTATCCCACTTCAATGCATAGTGGTGATTTCTTAAAAATGGATGAAGCACAATTCAAACATGCTCAGGATGAAGAATGGACAGAACAAGAAACTTTAGCACTTTTGGAAGGTATTGAATTATATGAGGATGATTGGCACAAGATTGCTGAACATGTGGGTACTCGTACTAGAGATCAGTGTATTCTGCACTTTTTAGAATTCCCTATTGAAGATCCATTAAATGGAGCAAAAATGTCAAAACTGGGGCCACTTCAGTATCAAAGGATGTCTTTCAGTCAAGCAGATAATCCAGTGTTGTCAGTTGTTGCATACTTGGCATCTATTGTGAGTCCTAATGTTGCAGCAGCAGCAGCTAAATCAGCAATCAAAGAATTACCGTCACCATTACCATCATCATCATCTGCTGTTGTTACCAAAAATAATAATAATTCAGAAACTAATCCAAAGGAATCTAATGAATCTAATGATGTTAATCATGATACACAAACCATTGAAGAAGGAAGAATTGGTGACATTGTTGATGGAGAAATTAAAGTGAAAAATGAAGATGCAATGGACACAGAAGTGGCAACTGAACCAAAGCAAGGTTCAACATCACAGAATATAGATGAGACTTCATCACCTTCACCAATAGATATTGCAAATTCCAAATCAAAATTATTGGATAGAGCAACAGCAACAGCAATGGGTGCAGCAGCAGCTAAAGCCAAGGTTCTGGCAGATTATGAGGATCGAGAGATACAGAGACTTGTTAATAAAGTTATTAAAAATCAATTGAAAAAACTTGAACTCAAACTTCAACAATTTGACGAATTAGAAAATGTTATTGAGAATGAAAGGAAGGAAATAGAGAAACAACGTCAATTGTTATATCTTGAACGCTTAACTCTTAAAAAGAATAGTTTAATCATACAAAAACAATTAAAAGGAGGTGGTGGAAGTAGTGTTGGTGTCAATAATATTACTAACAATAACAGTGGTAGTAGTAGTAATAATAATAATAATAATAACAATAATAATAGATTAGTATCTACAATTGAATATCAACAAAGACAGCAACAACAATTACAACAATCACAAATAGGACCATTAAGTAAAGAGGAAAGTAAAATTGGTGAACTTTAGATTAACAGATTCCAAAATAAAAAATATTCAATTAATCCAGAACATTGAAATACACAAAATTTATGTGTTTTATTTTTGTATATAAATAATGTATGTAGGGTTATGATAGAATTTTTTTCATAAATTTTTCATTTTATCCAATAATTAAAGAACTTCTTTTGCCTCAACCCAACCAATCAGTGTTATACCATATAATAAGTGACAATAACTAAAAAATAGATTATTCCAAGAAAAAGACTAGTTTCACTCTCCCTATTTATATATAACCCATCTCTTTTATTAGAGAATGAACTGCATTTTTATAAAAATGAATTTGACGATATAAATGAACCTAGTTCGTTTCACCGAGACAGAAATTGAGGATTGTTAAAGCTATCGGGATTAAAACCCAAGACTCTTACCATTTTATTGCTTTTGATGAGTAGCAATGTAAAACCATCCTGACATGTCATAAAAAACCTTTTGGTATGTCATAAAGTTTTGTTTAAACCAGGATGCAAAAAAGAAAATATGAACTTCTGAACTCAACTACCTAATAAGCAAAAACCCGAACCAGAAAGCTTATTAACTAAAAACTTAATCACAATCTCTTTCAGCAATTAGTGAAGAATGTTAATTTTTATTATACCCAAGAACCCGAAACTAATTATACCACTTACTCTCTCCTGCTAATTAGGATAACTTTTTTTAATAAAAAGTAATCAATTTAATACCAGCCCCAGACATACCAATAATTTGGCCACGAGTTTCTTTGCTCAATGCTTTTTTTGGGATTTAAGTTTTCATTTCCATCTTTAAAAAATTATGACCGCGTAATTCCTCGCTCAATGAAATTTACAGCAAATGACTCGGGAATATACTGTAAAATTTCAAATTGTAGCTATTTTTGTTAACACCAATGATTACGCTCGATGAATAATAACGTTGTTAATCGTTGATAAAGTTGTTGGTTCTTTATTAAGTCTGCGAGTAAGCTAATAATTAACATTGCTATTGTTTAATAACAAACTGTTTAATCACGATTTTGCAATACTGTTTCCATTTAAACTATTATTATGGAAGATGGTCCACTTGTCACAATCCGTCAACCAATAATACATCTATCTAATGGAACTTCAGAATCTGCAATAATTAATTCACCTTTAGCTCATTCCCTGTTCGACTTGGACCAGTGACAATATCAAATTCACCACGCAATATAGTCCTGGTCTTTTCTAATCTTATTTCGTTCTGTACAAATTTGTAAATGTCGCTGACAACGTAACTTCTTCCTAACTGTAGTGCGCTCTCGATCCAGTTTTTGACACCTTCCATTTTTTTGTCCTCATCTTTGCCCATATCAATCAAATTCATGGTTGAAAGATGATCAAGCTATATATGGGATGAAAGAATGAGGAAGCATTTGGTAGGAATTATCATATCCATAGTTCCTACGTTGTTTTATAATAATTATTATTTTTAATGTAAATCTTAATAGATATATTAAACAATTTCCAAGATTGTGGACAATGAAAATATTAGAGGTTGTACTTTCTGAATATTCAATCAATTAATTTTAATATTCGGATAATCATTAAATTTATTTAATCATTTTACACTTATCAATATTTTTTTTTTCAAAAAAAAACAATCTTTTCAAATAAAAGTGGATCAAATTTTGTTCTTCTTGAGGTCATCATATAAGTGTATAATATAATTAGATGTAGATTCACTGTCACATACTACAACATTACAAGGAACAATAATATCAAAAACTTCAGAGACATTAACTTGACAAATAACTCCTTTAGATTTTTCTCCATCTTTTACAATTTCAGTTTCTTCCATCAAGTTCCATATCCAACTTGACTTCTTAAAACCACCCTTTACCTTTCTTTTCTTTAAAATATGAGCAGCAGAAAGCTCCTCCCTTCTCTATTATAGTGACTGAAGGCTCTTCTTCCATTCACTGAATATTATTCATTGGGTGCAACCTCTAGAAAAAATGATGCCCAGAATTATTATTTTTATACCCTGGCATCGGCAGATTGGTTGGTTAGGATATATTATACCATCCATCAGTAAATTAAATATCACATGTGGTACTTTAACATCTAATCCTTGGGTTTCTTTTTATTAATTTACTTCATTACTATTTATCTCCTAGTCTAGTAATAGGATTTTTAACTCTTCCCCTATTCTTCATATTATTTAATGTCGCATTAAAATATATATCAATTTTTTGATATTGATCATTAGTTTGATGATGATGTCGGTGTCGTTCAACCTTAAACTCCAATATACGCTTTTCAATTGCTAGTTCACATTCATATGCCGATTCCTTTTGATATTCTAGTTCGGATCTAATTCAAATATATCATCATCATCATCATCATCATCATCATCATCATCATCATCATCATCATCATCAAACAAAAAAATATAGATGTATATATATACCTGAGATTTAGCCTTTCTTTTTCTGGAAGGCGAATTACCTAACCAATCTTTTACAATAACAGTGGCATAAATATAACATATTGTCGATCAACAAATAATAACATTATAATGACTGGGTTTTAGAAAAGAAAAAAATACATTCATTGAAAATTTTAGGTAAAGGTAAAAAATTAAATGCGTTATTAATATTTTTATGTTATTTATTTTTAACGCTTTTTTTTTGACGCGCGAATTTTAAGGTGTGAAGCAAAGACAAAAAAAAGGCTTTCAGTAAAATGGAGACTTTTAAAAACAAAGATTTTCATTAACAATAGATTTCTAGGTTCTTTTTTTTTCCTTTATTATCATAGAAATGGTAATAACTTTTTTGTTTAGATTTAAAAATAATATTAATATTAAATATTTGTTATTATTAAAAATAGACTTATTCCAAATAATATGAATGATCAGCAATTCCTCCACAAAAATATCAAGACTGGAAGGGATCGAATTCATTTGAATAGCTCTGAACTAGAATATCAAAAGAAATTGGCATGTGCATGTGGATTAGCAATTGAAAAATGCATATTGGTGTTTAAGGTTGAACAACACCAACATCATCACCAAACTAATGATCAATATCAAAAAATTGATTAAAAAACGTATAATATCAGCGAACCCCGATTTGGTTCTTGATGCACCAAGAATGATTAATGACTATTATTTAAATTTATTGGATTGGAGTAATAAAAATATGGTAGCAGTTGGATTGGATAAAAATGTTTATCGGTGGGTAATTAGGGTTCGATTCTGGAGAGGGAGCCTGAGAAATGGCAATCACATCCAAGGAAGGCAGCAGGCGTGCAAATTACCCAATCCCGATACAGGGTAAAGGCATTTGCTAATACTAGAAGTGGTACTAGAATTATTAATAATAAGATTTCTAGTCTTTCTTGGTCTGAAGATGGTGATCATCTTGCCGTGGGATTGAATGACGGAATACTCAAATATGGGATATTTTTGAGTGGTCATACTACTTGTGTAGTTGTTATAGCATGGAATAAACAAATTATTGCTTCAGGATCTAGGGATGGAAGCATGATGTTAGACTTGCACGACATAAATTTGCAGAATTACATGACCATACTAGTGAAGTTTGTGGTTTGAAATGGAGAAGTGATGGTGAACAATTGGCTAGTGGAGGTAATAATGACAACAAAGTTAATATTTGGGATGCAAAATCAAGCATTCCAAAATTTACTAAAACCGATCATAAAGCTGCTGTCAAGGTAAATATATATATTAATATGATAATATTAAATAATTTGATTTATATATATGTGTGTATATTCATCAATATATATATATATAAACACATTATAATATAAATAAAGGCTATTGCATGGTGCCCTTGGCAAAGAATTTTGCTTGCAACAGGTGAAGGAGCAGCAGACCAACAAATCTATTTCTTGAATACAGATGCATCAGTACAACTGAAATCGATTAATACTCAATCACAAGTTACATCAATTGTTTGGTCAAATCACTACAAGGAAGTATTATCAATTCATGAGTATCCAAATTTTCAATTTACAATCTGGAAATATCCTTCACTAAAGAAAATTATCGATGTTAAGGATGCACATGAGAATCGTATTTTACAATCAGCTTTGAGTCCTGAAGGAGAAATTGTAGCAACTGTGGCAGGTGATGATTGTTTGAAGTTTTTGCATATATTTCAAAAACTAAGAGTGGTGGCATTGGCAATGATGATTATGGTGATGATTATGATAAAATAATTTGAATTTAATTAGATAATTAATTAATTTAAATATATAAAAATTTCAAGTGTGAATATCCAGGATGGTTACTAAATCAAATCATTTCATTTTAAAGGAGTAAATATAGGTTGTTGACTAATTTGTGTTAAAAAAATATATTGAAAATTATAGAAATTAATTATTGCTGATAAAAAAGATTAATAATAATAAAAATAAAATAAAAATTTTCTCTGCTTTTGAGTATGTTAATCTTTTGCCTTTGAGGATTCAAATCACATTTATTAATTATTATATGTCTTTATTTTTTGGTTGTTTGTCAAAGATACTAGCTGCAATTTTTGGTGATGGTTGCAATCATAGTCTTATTGCTGGCACCATCTTCATTTTCTTATTAAATTTATAAATTATAATTGGTATAAATTATATAATGCACATCAATCGTTTGATGGTAATCTCATTTAAAATTTACATCATCATATTTGCTTTTACTGACATTGTCACCTTCTTTCTCATTGTAAAGATAATAAAGAGTCATTAAATATATAATTATTAAGATATCAATAAATAGAACTTGTTAAAATTAATGTTGACATTTATGTATAATAAGAATAATGGTTGACATTCTTTTAGTAAATTTTTTATTGAATATTTTTTTCTCCAAAAAAAAATGATGTATGATTGTTATAAATCAATTGTTGGTTTATTTTTGAATTTTTTGGTTGCTCTAATAGCTGACCTAAACCTAAATTGATTTCCATATAATGTGAATTCATGATTATGAATAATGAATGTAAATACATTATTAGCTTTGGGAAGGCCTAAATGAAATTTTGAATGTAAATTAATATATATAGGTTTACCATTAGATAAATTATATGAAAAATTACACGTAACAATTTACTTTTTAAAACGTCATTCTTTGTAACAAATTTAAACATATTTTCAGTTTCCTGGACTATAATTCCTGTAACTCCAATATATGAAGGACACTTGGATTTACTAACTATTATAATTATTAAAATTTATAAAAAAGATTAAGAAAATATGACTGAATTGACAAAGAAAAGATTAAAAAAAAGGAAAATATTTGAAACCTGTTAAGATTGCACCATGAAAATCTGCTTTTAATAATTTTTGAGAAAAAGCACTTGGACCAGAAGTTCCATAAAGTTCATCAATATATTGAAGCCAAAGTTCATGAAGTGGAATAAATAATTCATATCTAATAAAATAATATTAATAATAATAATTATCATTGTGATTTTTTTTTCTTTGATCAAATTCCACATCAAATTAACTTTTACTTTTGACAATCTTTTGGTATATCATAAATTCCAAGTTCTTTTTTTTCCTTTGAAGTAATACTTTTTTGTTTTCTTTTCAATCTTATTAATCTCTTTTTATTATCTTCCGATTTTTTTTTAGGATTATCAAGCAAAATGACTTTGTCTTTTAATTTAGCGTCATAAGCTTTTGCTGCAGAATTTTTTTTGATTTCGAAATTTGTTTCTAATGTGTCCATCACAAAATTTGGTATAAATTTCTTTGTGGTTTCTGATACTAATGGTTGTTCCTTTAAATTATAAATTGGTTAATTGTGGGCACAAATAACAACCAACAATGGATTAAATTAAGTGAGCAAAGTGATATTACTTCATTTTTTACCACTTGAGAATTTTGTACATATTTTGGTAAAGGTGAATATAAAGGATTATTTGACATGATTTAATTTTTTTTATTTAATAGTGAGTAAAAAAACATTAATCACGAGATGAATGAATTTAATGAAAATAAATTTAACTTTGGAGAGACCGACGGACGATCTTTCTAATAATCAACTATTTACATTATTTTAAAATTTTCTTCTTAGGCCATAAACATGGCCATAAATAAACTAGAAAATAATACAATGAATGTGACTAAAGTTATAGAAGTGGAAGAACTTTCAGTAGCACCAGATTTGGGAGAGTCAGTAGGAGTAGGGGAATTAGTAGGGGAATTAGAAGAGGTATTACTTGGAGCTTGAATATTTATTACACCCCACATACCAATGCTACAATGAGATCCTTCACTACAATAGTAATACAGCGCACCACTCTCCTGATTTATATTGACTATGAAATCACTTGGTGGATTGACTTTCGAATCGAATACATTTGTTTTTGTTGATCTCGTGCATGATTTTTCGCTGTCTGATTGAACTACGCTGTGTGGAATATTTGGGTTAACAAATTTGAATATTACCTGATAAAAAAGAAGATAAATGAAATAGTGTAAACAAACAAGCAAATAATATCTATTTATCAATCTGTATACTTACTATATCTCCATTTGAAACTGTGACCTTTTGTGGTACAAACTTTAAACCACCTTTACCAACTTCAACCGAGACATTATTTGCATTAACAGTAGTGATAATGAAATTCTCAGCTAATATAATCAATAATACTATAATTAAACCATGTTTAAAAATTATCATTTTTTAATAAATTTTTTTTTTGTCGTTGAGAAAGGAATTTTTTTTTAGAGGGCAAAAATTGAGAATCAAAGTACTATAAACTTTTTTTTTTTTTTTTTAGTATTTATAATTTAACCAGTAAACATTCTTCGTGATCGGTTTTCTTTTTTGAATAAAAAAATATAAATTTTTTTGGTGCATGCAAAGTGATAATTTGCTTATTTTATATATTAAAAAATCAATATCATGTGCCATATCACCAGAAATCCTTTCCAGAAAAAACTTGATATTAAATCGAATTTACAATAATAAAATAAATGGGCAAATAATAACAATAATAGTAACACCAACATCAATATTATTATATTATTATATTACCACTATAATAATAAGGCAGGTTTTGTTTTGAATGAATATGGCCTTGTGTAAGTTTGTAGTTGAAGCAAAAATATGTATGCTATCTTTTAATGATAATTTATTTGTCTAATTAATTATTTTAATCAAAGGGCAGGCTAGCTTTAAATTAACTGTAGGTTAATTGGGATGTGATTATGTAGAGCTTTTAAGGCTTCACTTTAACATAAACAAAGCAAGGTAATAATAATAATAAGACCATGCATGGTTCTTATATGAAATAAACCAATTTTTTTATTCATTTACAATATTTATTAAAAACTTTATTAAATTATTAAAATAAAATGATAATATAATTATTTTTTCCATAATTCATAAAATACATAAATCTTAATTATGAATCAAAATCATTTGAACAAAAACAAAATTGTCATGCAACTTTTTCTATTTCATCCTCAACTTTTATCAGCAGATTGATTCAATTTTTTTCTTAGTCTGGGTTGACGTTTTTCCCATTCATCAGCAAATCTTGTTTCTTGGGCAATTTCAATCTGTGAAGTAACTTCCAGTGCTGTACATAATAAAATATTTTTTGTAGTTTGAATGGATAATAATGCTTTGAAATTTTTGATGGAGACAGTTATTCAATATAACTCATATTCTGCCCATAGATATGGATTATAAAATCCACCATCAAATTTCATTGTGTTATTTGGGTTACTGTCACCTTCATAATTAAACAATTGACACACACTGTTATACTGATTGTTCTTTAGGAATTGATTGATGTAAATTGTTGCCTTGTACATTGCTGTATCAACTAATTTCTTTTGATCCTGCATTCTGATAATCAATTTGTTTAATTCCATGCATGGACAAAACTCACATGGTATATTCAATGTCTCAAAAGTGCACAATCCATACATTGGGGTGAGCATCAGGATTATTTGTTCTTTTTCTGAAAGTGGAATTTGATAAAAAATTATTATATATTTTTCATATCCTAAATAATCAACTAAAGTTGTTGTTTTCAAACCTCTTGGCATATATTTTTCACTACCACCTCCATATGCTAAATGTAATAATGTTTGATGTAAATCCATATGAGTTGAAAGGCAACATTGATTTTTTTTAAGAGCATAACTAAAATTGGGATGTGAATCAAGTGGTTGGTTTGGTAGTAGCATCATCATTGTAGGTTGTTTGTGATGTAAATATCCTTCATGATCACTATAGATAATTATTGTACTATTAGTGTTTTTTTTTTGAGCATAATGCCTTTTACCTTTGTTAACATTTAAGAATTATTCAACCCAATCAAGTGTATGTTGTGAAACAGTTTTATGCCCCATGCAATAAGGACCAGAGCCAAAAGTATAATCTTGCATCCATGTCATTTCACTTGTTCCATTTAAGAATACACAAGACTCATTTAAAGATTAGTTATATTTAAAATTAAATGATTGATTGATTTGTTCATATTAATTACTCACTCAAGTTTTTTGTTAATTGTAGCATCAATTTTTTTGATTTCTTTTCTAAACATATACAATATGACCAATTCCTGGATCTTACAAAAGGGAATAATGAAAAAAGAAGTTTAATTAGTGTATGCAAAGTTAATGTTGAGGAAATGGCATTTGATGATGATGTTAGTATTATAATATGATTATCATTATTAACTGTTGATATGACCAACTATTATTATTACTATTGTTTATCAGATGATTTCTGAATAAGTCTCTTGACAAAGTGGTGTGTATTATGATCTCAATGATAAAAGGTTCTTTTATTAGATCTGGTTTTCTTTTTAAGGCATCTGTTAGTGCTTGTTAATCCACCATTCATTGCTTTAAGTTGGGCCATTAAAAATATGTCTTGTTCAGACTTAGAAAGAGCTTGAAAGGATTCCCTTAATTCTGCAAATTGTTCCTTGGAATTCTTGAAGAATACAATTACATCCTTTTTCTAAAAAATAAATTGCTTTTTGACATTCATTAGAACCATTATATTTATTATTAATTTTCATATACATATATAACCTATATATATAATTTTATGTTCACTTTATAGGTTTTTTATTTTAAATTAAGTTCTGCTAACAATAATAATCCAAGCCAATCTTTTACAGCTAGCTAAAAGTTTTAGAGATTAAATTTAATAACCACTTGTTATTATAAACATTATTTTATTCATACCATCTCAAACAAACAATCTTTTATTTTGCTTTGACTTACATAAAATTAAAGGATTCATAAAGAAATTTTATAGCTTAGCATTGATTGATTCTCTTTATTTTGAAGGAAGCATCCAATAATTTATTTAGTCTATTATTTATAAATTTACTAGCAAAAAGATTTATTTGTACTTTAATTAATACAATATAAAAAATATTTGATTTTCAATTACTTTAATGATGTTACATAGAATCAATATTTAAAGAGATAGTTTGGAAAGAGATAAGCATTTAAAATTTACCTCATTAAACCATTGATGCTGCAAAGCATTTTCAGCAGAGGGATATTCATTTGGATCATTTTTCATCAAGAATGAACAGAATGCTGCTGTTTCATTTGATAATAATATACTTGATGTATTTAACAAATTTCCAACAAGATATATATCTGCTTTGTCTGTGTATGATGGTATAGGTACATTATGTAATTCTGGTGCCCACCATTGAATAACAAATTTTGGAGTTTCATTTAACCTTCCAGCATGTTCCCAATCACCAACAATGAATCTTCCATGACTATCTTTCCAAATATTTTCCCAATGCAAAATCTCAATGTACATGAACCATGAATAACCTCAAGGACTTAATTATTTGATATATTGCTGTTTTTAATTCTTGAATATCTTTTGGTCACTGTCTGAAGCATACAGGTGCAATATCTACAACATATGTTTGAATTTTTTTTCCCCCTCATCTTTCCTCTAGCACTTCTAGCATTGAAAATGCTTTTACAGCATATTCACATGATTTAATTATTTCATAAACTTCTTGTAAAGTTTCTATGTCACTGTAAATATAATCCTCAAAATTTTTTATTGTTTTTTGTATATGATCACTTGAGACAAATGTAATGGATGCACCACTTTTTTTATTAAAAGTTTTTAAGAAGGGAAATGGAACTTATAGAAGTAAGGTTTCAGCAGCAAGAAACCATTTAAACATATTCAAAGTTGATATCAAAACCTAAAGGATTTGGTGAGAGTTAAATTAGTAATATTTTTTATTCTTGAAAATCAATATCTACAATTATGCAAGTACCTTAAAACCACCAGCAAATGTAGAGATATCATAAAGAGGTGAAATTGATGTTAAATTGGAATCTTTAGTAATGGAAAAAAACTGAAGACTTTCCTTTACTGCACCATATGAGAAGATTTCCACATGATACCAAGTTCCAATCCTCATTTTATCCCTTAATTCCTCCATTACTGTACTAAAATCACCATCCTTCTTTTCTTCTGCTTTGAAAACTAGTGCATCCTGAACCCAAACAAGCACATCTGGTCATAGAGAATCAATTGTAATTCCTGATGGATCCTTAACATTTCGGTTAATGTCAATAGCTAAGGAATGATATGTCCTTAAAGTTTCCCAAATATTGATAACAATATTATCAAACTTGCTGATTAGACAAGATCCTGAACCTTCCATTCTCCTAGGAAGAGCATGCACACATTCTGCGCTAAATTCAACTGCTGTGGAACCTGATAGATCACCATTAACAAAATAATTGTCAATATCAATATCAATTATTTCCCTTTTCCATTGCTCATATACTCCAGATTCAATAAGAATCTTTATGCAAAATGGTTGGAGAAGATTAATTTCTAGATTTTTTGGATCATTTGACAATTTAAAATTATTCAAATCACAGAATGATTTAACAAGATCTGATAAGATGTTTTTTTTCATCATTCCTAAAAATTGTTTATAATATCAGACAGAAAGTAAAAAAAATCACAAATTAGTTAAATTTGCAAACAGTATACCAAATAAATGGAAATTAATTTTTTGTATATATTTTTTTATGCGATCTGTTCATTACCTTTCCCACCATGTAACGTTTCTTCATACAACGTCCACCTATCTTCCTTCTCTTTCTCCAACCTCTTTTTCTTGTTAATCAAATAATTAAACTCCCCTTCCCGTTTTTCTGCATCTCCGCCCCATAACTCATCTAACCTCTTCTGATTATCTCCCTTCTCCACTCCTTCAAATTCCCTTTTGATTCTTCGTATTCTTTAAATGCAATATTTTTATCATTTTCAATTCCTTCATAGTTGCCATTTCGTACTAGATCGATTGTTTCTTATGCATAATTTCGACCAATGATATATTAAGAAAATTAATTCAACTAATAATGGATTATTTGTTTTTTAAATTGTGATATTGAATGATTGGTTTTTTACCTGAAAATAAGTAGTTGGTGATTTTCCAACATAAGGCGGGATTATTTACCTTGTTTCAATACTAATCAAGAAAAACAAAGATTTATAAAACATATTCTTAAATGTATAATTCGTTCAAACAACAATGATAAGCAATGCAATATGATCATTAATTACATTTGCATAAAGGATTTTTTTGTAATAAGATTATTTTCCTTCTAAAGATTTTTGCTTTTTGTTGGACAATAGCACACTTTCATTCTGCTTTCTTTTTCTAACATTTATTATCTTTTTTTTCTTCTTGGTAAATTTCACAAGTAATCCTTTCTTTTCTCGGATATGCTTCAAGTGTCTGAGTATCATTTATTTTGAAAATATAAGGAGCAATTTTTTCACCTTGTTCTTTCTTCAAAATACTTCTGATAGTACTACAATTCCATAGTAGATCTGGTATAGAATAGCTTCATATTAATTATTTTTATATAGGGATAGTTCTATATATCACTTAAGATAACAAATGAGACATTATAAAACTAATTATTATTATGATGATGAAAACTAAATTTTGATCCCTGAAATTTTTGGTAATACCAATGTTCACTTTGTTTGGTTTTTGTTACAGTATGCCCCCCATATGATAAGGTTAGTAGTTGATTGAACAATCCCTGTGCTTAAAACACATGGTCATGACGGAACTTCCCAAATAGAATGTTGTCATACAACATTATTCCAAAAGGGAAATACTGTGGTATATATAACATGATCTAAGAGAAAGCTTGCGTTAGTGATGGATGACGTAATTATTCATTCGATTTTTGTGAATCACAAAAATCATCATCCCTGCCTGATTTCCTCAGGGATACTTATCTGGGACCGCAGCATATTATTGGCAGGTTGGGTATTAGACATTATTAAATTGGCAATCGCGATGATTTTTGCGGAACAATGCATACTAATAGGATCATTTTATATATAGTATAGATTACAGAATTTTTATTTCTATTGAAATGAATAATACGAATTTATTGAAATTTTACTAATATAGTAGTACCAACTATGGTATTTTGATATTTTTTTCTTTGATGGTCGCGTGACAATAATTTAATCATAGATCCGATTTTTGAAGAAGACAAATATTAACAAAATATTATACATACCATAAGAATTAGTATTGTGTTATACTTATTTGATGGCCATGTAACAATATTAGTCATTTAACCATATATCGACCCGTTTTGAAGAAAACGGATATCAATTCAATGTTATGTATAATACATATGAATTATTATTAGCATTAATAATAGTATCATTCATTACCTGTTGCCGTTAATATATAATATATATCAACTAGAATATTTTTGAAGGTCGCGTAACAATAATCCATCGTTCAACCATAGATCTGTTTAAATAAACATTAATACAATGTTGTATACAAATAAGAATTATTATTAATAGTACGTAATGTTATTACCTATTACTCATTAGTAATAAGAAAATACAATGTTATAATTACCTATTACCATTTAGTAATATATATCAGTCGGGTGTTTCGATATGTTAATTTTTCTTTGATGGTCGTGTAACAATAATTAACCATCGATCCCGTTGTTGGAAACAAATATTAACACAATCTGTATTAATAAATTCTTTTAATAATGAATATAAATAATATTTGTTGTTTTCAAAACGTAATAGTAAATAAAAATTACAGGAAAATATATTCTTATTTGTAATACAACTCAATCTTCATTTTAAATTATTCGTTTTATTCAAATAAACTTTTTCATAACGAATAAAGCAAATAATTCTTATTCGAATAGAATCCCTACAGGAAAGCAGTATATTTTAAGCATAATTTGGTTTTTATTACTGTAAAAATGATTTTTTATTTTATCTATTGGTTTAATTATTTATTAAAGAATCCAACTAATTTAAGGAGGGCATATATTCTCCTACACATGGACATCTAAATAGCATCCTTAAAATTTTTGAAAGAATCTATAAAACTAAGGATTATATAACATTTTAAGTGATACTTAAGCTCACAATATTAATGATATAATTATAGCATTACAAATACACCAACGATTATTTATTAAGAAGGCAAACAACTATAACAGTGTCACATACAATGTGCAAGGGGATCATTTATCTTAAACAGTTTTTCGGCTATTGATCGCTGAAAATTTTTTTTCTGTTATAAAAAACTTTTTCTGAAGGCATCACCTTCTAATACGAAAATGATCATTGAGATTAAGCTGATTGATCTATGAAAAAAAAATTCGGTTGTTGTCCTTGTGATTTTCATAAAATCTTCCTTAAAAGTTGGTTGATTGGCTATTTTTACTTTGCAGATCGTTAAATTGGCCAATAAGAATGCAAGATCGTGATTAATATTAAATTTTGCAGGGTTTTCCGGTTTAGAATTCAAAATTCCAGTAAAAATTGGAAGAAGTTAGGAATTCCCGGTAATAGAAAAATTATTTTATTGTGAAACCAACCATTTTAAAAAAAAATTTCCAAATAATAAATGCTTTATCATAATCAAAGTCCTTGCTTTCTGGTCCTTCAATACTAAGTCTCATAAGCATGTCTAATATTTTTGTACCAAGAGAATTATGCAATTTTGACTTGGTTAAGTTTTGTACACTAAACCCCCTCTCACAATCCACACTTGAAAATGGAATACTATAAATAATTTTAATTAATCTAATAATGTTTGGAAACACATCAGAAAAGTCATTAATAATTAATGGAAATAATTCTTGCATATTTTTTTCAACATAATTAGTTGCAACAATTGTTTTAAAACCAGGTATTCATTTTGACCAATTAGTGGAGAAATTTCATTATAACCATTAACATTGGTAGTTTTTTTTACTCCAAAAACATCTACCAAAAATTTTAATTCTGATAGCCCAAATGTAATAAATTCTCAGATTCAATAGATGACCACTCAGAAGGATTCAATGCTTTCATTGCTGTAACCAAAGGATAATCTAACATTAATTTCATAAATTACCATGGATGCATATTCATATATATCTGACAAGAAGTCATCATCATAATCTTCATCTGAATAAACAAGCACATGATTATTGTAATTAATTATTGAATTATTAAAAGGAGTTGTTTGATGAATAAATGCTTTCAAATTTCTTCCAAATAATACTTGAGGAACATCTATATATTCTGAATTAATAAGTTGTATTGTTGTTTTAATTGCTGGCTCTATATCATTAAACCTTAAAATTTTTTTTTGAAAATGTTTACTCAGTTGTGACAAATGACCAAGTATGTCATAAAAAGAAAATAAAAATGCAATCATTTTCCATCTTCAAAGATCATTATATAATCTTTGACCAACTTCAGATTCAGATTCTTTAAATAGAATGAGTAGTGCTGGTAAGGATTCAC